ATATATATATATATATTTAGATCTGTTCATTGGTATATAAATATAATGATGCGATAAATACTTTTTATAGCTACTACATGTAAATTAAACGCCCGCTCTAAAAGCTATCCATCTTAGTTAAAATTTCCTATCTAATATTTCGAAATATAAAATTCAATGTTTTCGTCGTATCTCATAACATTCTTGTTACGGGGAAAATCCAATCTTTCCAACTTGATTTACAAATTAAAAAATTTCCTGTATCTTGACAAATGAATCGAGGAAACAAACTTGTTAGATAGGACACTTCGATTAAAAAAAAAAAAGATAGATAGCTTGTCGAGAATTGTTAAAAAATTATTTTCAATTTTTATCTTCCCTCGGATAGATATCTGTTCGTTTCTTTATTCTCCACAATCGATCCCTCCGCTCCGCGATTTTATTATCAAACAATGTGCGAACAATCGTCTTCGGTGCAGCTTCTACGGTAGAAAGTGAAACGAGTCCATTTTTTTTTTTCTTTCTTTCTTTTTTTTGGTGAGATTTCAGTGAGAAAAGGGAGTGGATATAACAATACGAGAACCATTTTCCACCGCTCGTGTTCCGACGCGGAACAACGACGGGGCATTCGGTATCAGAAATTGTGCAAATTGTTCGTTCTCTTTGGGTGATTATCGACGTGATATCCGCGACGGGATTACTACCTCGTACTCTAGAAAAAAAAATGGAAAGGACGAATCTCTGATCGATCTGATCCGTTCGCTGCCACTTGATGCGTTTTTGTACTTTCTTGTCGATCTTTCTAATCCTTATTCACTTTTCTTTCTTTTCTTTTTGTTCAAAAGAAAAAAAAAGAGATTTTATTCCTCGGTTATTGTACTCTTTCTTCTTCTATTCTTCAGTTCATTTTTTCTTGCTCGTTAGATCCTAAGAGATGATCGCAATAGTGCGACGAGATTCATGAGTTAAGTTCCATCGTAGTCGTGTGGTGGTGGCGCGTGATGATGCATGTGGACGTGTGGCGGCAGTTCGACTGTGGGAACACCCAGACTGCTTCTCTGCAATTTAGGGAGAATTTAATTCAATTTCAAAATTTTTATTTCCATAATTATGCCTTTATTCGAATATGCAATTCAATATCACACACGAAATTCATTTCGAAATTTTCTCTAAACGATTTAAAAAACTTTCTTCCAAAATTACGTCCATAATTCAATGATCATCACTTTAAAGTTATTTGAAAAATTATCTTTGTTGTTTAAAATTTACGATGAATGCGCTTTGTATTTAAAGATTTCAATTATTTAGACGATTTAAAAAAATTCATCTGCTTGATTACTAACTTGCGATCTCATCCCATTCAGGGGGGTGGCAGTGGGATTGTCCGGCGGATAGCCGAGCACATGGGTCGAGCATTTCTCGCAGGTGCGTCGCCGCCTCGAGGATGCGTGGCATCGCAACGCGCGGCACAGTTCTCGCGCCATCTCCGAGCACAGAGACTCCTGTTGCTGATTCGGTTGCTGTTGTTGCTGTTGCGACTGTTGCTGCGTCTGTTGTTGTACGGATTGCGAGATTCCTTGCAGAGAATCCGAACAGATTGGTATCGATACTGGAGCTCTCTGCATAAAATCATAAAAAACGAAGTTCATTTAACGAATATTCGGTGAGATAATTTTGTAGGTAACTTTCAATTTTTTCCCTGGCTAAATTATCGAAAAACAAGAGAAGTATTATTCAAAATATAAAACAGAATCTTCATTGCATTCTAAAAATCTCTCCAAAAATTAAAAAATAAATATATACGAAAGGAAAAAAAAATACATTCATTTCAAAAAAAAAATATATATATATATACATGATTGTTCAGTAATTGGGTCCTCCTTCTGCTTGCTGTGACTTAGAAATAAATCAAAAAAAAAAAAAAAGGTATCGTAATCAAAGCGTATCGAAAATTTTAAGTTCTTTTTCACACTCTGTTTGTATAGGATGCGAGATACCAATTACGTGCAATTACAAGCAAACGTTGAAAAAGTAAACGAGGAGAATCGAATTATGCGAGACAACGA